AGCAGCCCCTTTCATCCGAAAAGCGCCCTAAACGTCGAGAACCCTAAACGGCTTAGGAATTAGGGTTTAGGGTTTAGGGTTAAACCCTCAACCCCAAAGAGCCTTAAGCCCTGTACACCCTCAAAGTCCTTGTATACCCTTTAAACCATCTTGACCCGAAAGCCTTGAGCCCTATTGACCCTTGCAGCAACAAAAGCCTAAACCCGACAAACGCGCATAATTATGTCCTTTGACCGTGAGCCCTATTCACCATAGTTTCATGAATCCTAAACCCAAACGCTCTTCTAAACCGTAAAGCCCCAATCCCTACAATCCTTCAACCCCTCTATATATATATATATAGACATATTGACATACATATATATATATAAATATATCGATACAAATACGCACACATGTATGTGTATATACCTGAAAATACATCCTAAACCCTAAACCCTACAAGTATTCCCCTAAACAATAATCCCTTCTTCACCCTTGCCTAAACCCTAAACCCTAAACCCTAAACCCTTAATCCTGCAACCCTCCAAGCTCAAGGCCCCGCGCAGTTCAGAGCAGCACTTTGACGACCGGTCTGGTCGCGGGCATGTGCGGGTCTACCTATCTATCTATATATATATATATATGGTTTAGGGTTTAGGGTTTAGGGATGTATGTATACATTCAACAAGCCGGATGATTCGAACTTTAAAGAGTAAGGTCATGAACCTTGAAAATGCGGGCCTGCAATATCGCGCTTTACATGTGTGCAAATGATATATACTCATATACATACACCTGCACATGATGAACAAAATATGAGACCCCGACACCGTGAACTCCAACAGCTGTGAGCCCCAAGGCCACAAAAACAAAACCTTTATTCCCTACACCCCATGCAAACAGGGTTTAGGGTTTAGGGTTAAACCTCCAAACCCTCAAGCCCCTTCGAAAACCTCCAAGAAACACCTGAAACACCCTTACTCAAAGTCCTCGAAACACACCTAGCAGCCCCTAACAACCCTTGAACAACGTTGTGGGTCCAAAAGAACCATAGAAATACGCCCCCAACTCCTTTCAATCCTTTCAAGGCCGGAACGCCGCCATCAACCCGAAATGCTTAAAAAAACCTCCAAATCTTTTGAAAACCTTTAGCAAGCACCTGAAAGCAGCGTTTGCAAACGTTCCGAACACCCAAGCCAACTGAACCGAAAATCCCACACCCTCTAAACCCTAAACCCTAAGACCTAAGCCCGAAGCCCGAAGCCCTAAGCCCGAAGCCCTAAGCCCTAAACCCTCCACCAACTCCAAAAGAACCCCCTTGAAACCCAAACCCTAAACCCTAAACCCTAAACCCAAGGCGCCTTTAGGAGTCCTTCGGATGGGCAGTCGACTCGCGGGCACCGGCAGGCAGCCTCGGTACATCAGCGTCTTTTCATTGTGACTCTACACGAGGTAGGGTTTAGGGTTTAGGGTTTAGGGTTTAGGGTTTAGGGTTTAGGGTTTAGGGTTTAGGGTTTAGGGTTTAGGGTTTAGGGTTTAGGGTTTATAGGGTTTAGGGTTTAGCCTTCATAGGGTTTAGGGTTTAGAATTTAGGGTCCCTTAAAACCCTCTGAGAAACATCCTAGACATGGTGCTCTTGAACCCACGGTGGGGCAACATCAAACATTCCAAGGGTCTACCTACTTTCATTGCATGGATATGACCCATGGTCTTCTTAGTGCTAGTATTCCCTGGAAGGACACCCAACATGTACTCACCAACGTACGGAAACCTCTACTACTCGCCCAGAACAGTAGTGTAAAACCTAAAGTCTAAACCCTAAACCCTAAACCCTAAACCCTCAGCCCTAAACCCTAAACCCTAATATTTGTTTGCAGGCCAGACGGCCGGCTGGCAAAAGTGTTCGGGTAAGTTCTTTACAGGGTTCTTGTGGGAGGGGTTTGGGTTTATACGGGTTTAGGGTTAAGGTTTTGTTGGGGGGGGGGGGGGAGGGCTAGGTATCTACCTACAGGAACCTCAGGGACGCTTGGGGAGCCTTAGAGAAGAGTGGGGAGCATTCGGGAACCTTGGGCTACATACCCCCCTTGAACCCCTTCCTTAAGGACCCTATAAGTTCCAGCAGCGGCAAGCCATAACATCCTCACAGACACTGCTTTTGCAAGCTGACACATTCAACTTTCTACCTGTGAAAACTCTGCTTAGACTGCTGCGGGACAAAAGCCTGGCTTGTGAGATTGCGGTCGTCAACAGACGTGACACTCTCGGGCCGAAGATGGCCCTCAAAAAACCTTCTGACAAAAGCATTCCTCAACATGGGCCTTTTCATTGAACCCAATAAGGGTTTAGGGTTTAGGGTTTGGGGTTTGGGGTTTGGGGTTTGGGGTTTGGGGTTTAGGGTTTGGGGTTTAGGGCCTCATAAAGGGGTAACAAAACACAAGAAAATGTGTCCTGAAAAGGGGCCGAGGCTGCCAGAGCAGCCGGCTAGCATCCTTTGGGCCATGCCCTCGAGTAGTATGTAGGTTATATGTACATATATATGTATATCCATGTATATATATATATATTTATGCATATTATGCATATTATATATATATATATATAATATGTATATGTGTTTCTTTTTGCGGGGGGGGGGGGGGGTATTGTAGTAACATGGTATAGGAACAATACGGTGCGGGGGGCGGGGGGGGGGTTGGTAGTACAATGGTATAGGAACAGTACGGCGGGGGGGGGGGGCTTATTGTAGTATAAAGGTATAGGAACCGTACGGGGAAGACTAGTAGTCATTATTCTGACCTCTTTAGTACACACATGAGCGTGCGAGCACCATCTCGACCCATGTGCTCCTTGCATCTGGTGTGCCCTACGAGCCTCACCATTTGCTGTCATCAGCACCGTGCGTGCGCTGGCAGCTCTAGCCCAGGATGGCCCTTAAACGCCTCTGAAACACTGAATTATGATGCTCTTAAACGGGCTTAGGGTTAGTGTTGAAGGGATTCAATGGTGGAAAGCCCCACAGGAGATTTACAAAGAAAGAGCACCAAACAAGGACACGACAAGTTGTCTATTCCTTCTAGCTTCTTTACACTGTACATCTAGAGAAATGCCCGGTGCACATACTTTGCAGAACATGGCCCGAGGGGTTTGCTCCATAGCCTTCCCCTAGACCAAAATGGCAACAGCGAACATAGAACTATACACTGCACAATCTCAAACCTCATATTGGGATCTCACAGCCTGGAATATCTTCAGCAGATAGGGTTGAGGGTTGAGTTTAGGGTAACAAAAAAGGAGTCCACCTCGTGTCAGCTACCTGTATGTGAGCAGGTGCGATGGCTGCAACAACCGAAGTGCGTGGCACACACGGGCCGACTCAGGTCTAAGCGTTGTTTCATGGTCCCTTGATGTGGTCCCTTACCTTATGTGTCCAGGGTTCTGAAGTATGGGCCCTGGGGCTTGATAGGGTTTAGGGTTTAGGGTTTAGGGTTTAGGGTTTAGGGTTTAGGGTTTAGGGTTTAGGGTTTAGGGTTTAGGGGGCACATAAGGGGCATATAAGGGGTCCCCTCTTGAAGGGCCCCCCGAAGGGACCATGTAGCTACCCAAAGATCATGGTTGAAGTCCACTGTGACAGCGCATACGCCGGCACACAAGGCGAGCCTGAACACTAAACCGATGTCCATGAAACCCTAAACCCTAAACCCTAAACCCTAAACCCTAAACCCTAAACCCTAAACCCTAAACCCTAAACCCTAAACCCTAAACCTTAAACCTCCATCCTTCCAGGGACCTACTAATCAGGTTACAAGAGCCCCAACCCCATAGCCCTAAACCCCAAACCGATGTGTGTGTATATATATATATTACTTAATAATAAATAAATAAATAAATATGTATATATAAATATATAAATATATAAATATATAAATACATAAATAAATAAATAAATATATATATATATATATATATATATATATAGTTATATGTATGTGTGTGTCTCTGCGATGCTATTCTGGCGGCATTCGATCAGTCTTGCGAAAAACAACCTGAGAGGCTTTTGCCACATCATCGGCTCGGCAAGCAGAAGTTCTCGAAACATTTAGCGACTCAAAACCTAAACCCTCAATCCTAGACCCTAAATCCAGAAACCCGGCCCGAAGGGTCCACGTACCTAAATCGGGAATACTTGGGGCCTTCAAGTACTTCCTATATAGGGCCTTTGGGGCCCAAGGATATGATGCTACGATACATGGACCCTTAGGGCAGGGTTTCGATTCTTGAAGTGCCAAGAGCCAGGAAACAAAAACCTTCCCTTCGGCTGGGTTTAGGGTTTAGGGTTTAGGGTTTAGGGTTTAGGGTTTAGGGTTTAGGGTTTAGGGTTTAGGGTTTAGGGTTTAGGGTTTAGGGTTTAGGGTTGCTGTGAATCGCCTGGGTGGCGCTCGGCATTGTAAGCCCATGGCAGCACCACATCCGATACAGCAAGGCACTCTAAGAGGAAGCTGGGGAAGCCCTAGGCTTGGAGGTTTTGGGGTCTCGGGTGTTTTGGGAGCCCTGAATGGCTATGAATGTGCCTTGCCATACAAAGTCGATGTCCGCAGGAAGTTAGAAACACTGTGTATAAAGCACCCATCAACCTCCTCCCCCCGCTGCGGCTCCACAAATGCCTTTTGCAAGGCAGACATTCCAAACCCTAAACCCTAAACCCTAAACCCTAAACCCTAAACCCTAAACCCTACGATGGATTGCTGCTGTGTGCATGTCGACTTCACGGATTTTCTGTGGAGCGGGGACAGCGGGGACAGGGCGGAGAGGGCGTCACCGGGCGTGCGATTACCCTAAACCCTAAACCCTAAACCCTAAAACCTAAACTCTATACTAAACCCTAAACCCTAAACCCTAAACCCTAAACCCTAAACCCTAAACCCTAAACCCTAAACCCTCACCAGGCGTGCGATTTCGTAATTCTTATTATAGAAACCCTACTTGCTACTATGTAGGTACTTAGGACCCTTTGGGTCTGTCTATACGGCGATGGTTCGCCAGGCGTGCCATCTCTCCATTAAGGCACTGCCGTCGCGAACGACCCGTGACAGGAGGGATGTCCTCTTCGTGGAAAGAATGTTCATAATCTCATCGAACACCTGAGGGGTTCCGATATTAGGACCCTAAACCAAAAACCCTAAACCCTAAACCCTAAACCCTAAACCCCCCACCTGAGGGTGATTCAAGCGCAGGACGTGGCAGGCCGTCGCCACGGGTTGTGAATTCGCGGTCTCCAGTTCTACGTTTCGCTCTGTGAGTTCCTCAACGATGCCTTGCTTCTCCAAGAGGGGTTTAGGGTTTAGGGTTAAGGGTTTCGGGTTTAGGGTTAGGGTTTAGGGTTTAGGGTTTAGGGTTTAGTAGTTAGTAGGGTTTAGGGTTTAGGGTTGAGGGTTTCGGGTTCAGTATTCCTACTACGAAGGAAACCCATCAAAGAGCTTAACGTTCAACTGTTGGCTAAGATGCTCAGCGAAAGAAGTCGTGTAGTGAGCTGGCTCCTAAACCCTACACCCTAACCCTAAACCCTAAACCCTAAACCCTAAACCCTAAACCCTAAACCCCAAACCCTAAACCCTAAACCCTAAACCCTAACTCTTGCCTAAGATGCTCAGCAAGAGCAGCCGCGTGGTGAGTTCGCCTGCGAAGGGGAAGGCGGTGATGGAAACCAACGCCGAGATGAGCACCTGCACCTTCCAGGAGCCAGGATCCCGCACCATCATGACCTTGCTTCTTCTTCTTTCTTTTTTTGATCTTAGGGTTTAGGGTTTAGGGTTTAGGGTTTAGGGTTTAGGGTTGAGGGCTTACTGCTCCATTTTGTTTAACGCAAGAAAGAGGCCAAAAAAGCTCCAGCACTTTCTTGCTCCCACCAGACAATCAGGAGACCCAAGTTTATTTAAGTGTATACAGTTCATGGTATTGGCTAAGGTAAGTGACGCTTAAGTACCCTCATATTTCAAATCATGTAGACGTACAGATTTAATTGGGCTACTAAGTACCATGAACCCACAAAACCCTAAACCCCAAACCCTAAACCCTACAATAAGTGACGCGTGCGGTGGCGTCCACCAACTCCTGGATGTTGCCCTCCATACCTGCTAGGCTTTAGGGTTTAGGGTTTAGGGTTTAGGGTGTAGGGTTTAGGGTTTAGGGTTTAGGGTTTAGGGTTTAGGGTTCAGGGCCTAGCCTGCGGCCGTTTGCGGCTCGCGCTTGCAAAGCTCCGCGCAGCCCCAGAGCCTGTGCTGAACATGGAGCCCTGGCAGAAAAATCATCATTTGAGCTGCTTTTTTCTGAGGAATTGTAGTAGAGCGAGCCTCTACTGCAAACCCTAAACCCTAAACCCTAACCCTAAACCCTGGCAACAAATCATATTTTCAGCTGCTTTCTTCGGAAGTATACTACCTCAAAATTACATGTTTAACAGTTTCTTAGGGGAATTAAAGTACCCAAACACATTAAGAACAGTCCCAAGAATTCCTAAAGCAGCATGTTCGTGATCTCGAATGTCTGGCATTCCACCAGGGACCTGGCCGCCACTCTGGCAAGTACCTCAAGGGGACGGGTGAGCCCTGAAAGGGTTTAGGGTTTAGGGTTTAGGGTTTAGGGTTTAGGGCCTAGGGCCTAGGGCCTAGGGTTTAGGGTTTAGGGTTTAGGGTTTAGGGCTTCAGGGTACCAAAAAGAAAGTCTTAGTCGTATAGGGTAGATGATCCCCAAGTTTAGGCTTCCTTTCGTCCAAGGGTGCGACGAGCAGATTGGGCACGAAGATGCGGAGCACGGCGCAAGACCAAGTGATGATGGTGCAGCAATTCGCTGGCATGCTGGAGTCCTCTTGGATGCTCTTAGCGGGGTAGCTATGAAGTTGAATCTTCAGCTGCCTTATTTAAGAAAACCCAAGAAACCCCAAAAAAGGCGAAGGATCTAGAGATACAGTAAATTTACCGCGGAGTCCTGGAGCTCGATCTCCTTCTGACCCTTGCTTTCGATCCTTTCCAGCATAAGATGGAAAACCGGATCCTGGGTCACAGAGTCAATGCTCCCTGGAGCCCCTTGACACGTGCGCGCGAGCCGATGAACCGCTGTTGCCAAGTTGACCCCGTTCATCAGGTGGAGGTTGGTCGCGGCTACCCGCAACACCTTGCCTTGGTGGCCCAGCAAGCATCTTATGAATGAGGGTTTAAGGCCCCCCAACAGGGTTGGTTACTTTTTAATTATAAGGGAACCTTGAAAACAAAGGGAAGAAAGGGTACTATACTCTAAACCACGAACCCCAAACCCTAAACCCTAAACCGGCTACCAAGTTGCTGATGCAGTCAACTTTTCTGGTCTTCGCTGCGCTGGTAAGAGCCTTATTGATGCGCATTTGCATGGCAAGCTCCTCCCCAGATCCACCTCGGGGTTTAGGGTTTAGGGTTTGGGGTTTGGGGTTTGGGGTTTGGGGTTTGGGGTTTAGGGTTTAGGGGTTTAGGGGTTTGGGGGTTTAGGGGCTTAGGGGTTTAGGGGTTTAGGGGGTTTAGGGGGCTTAGGGGCTTAGGGGTTTAGGGGTTTAGGGGTGTAGGGGATTTGGGGTTTAGGGGTTTAAGGGGTTTAGGGGCTTGGGGTTTAGGGTTTTAGGGGTTTAGGGGTTTAGGGGTAGGGGTTTAGGGGTTTAGGGGGGTTTGGGGGTTTAGGGGTTTAGGGGTTTAGGGGTTTTGGGGTTTAGGGTTTAGGGGTTTAGGGGTTTGGGGGTTTAGGGGGTTTAGGGGGTTTAGGGGGTTTAGGGGGTTTAGGGGTTTAGGGGCACCTTATCTGGGGTCCTGATTGTAAGGGGCTCCGACTCTTTGGGGGGTCTATGTTCGGGGCCCCTGCCCGATTTTCGCAAGCCCCCCGCCTGGGAGCCCATGAAGCGGGGCCTGCTCTACCGCAGTCCCCGCATTTGGCGCCTGAGGGTCTGGCTCCCCCGCAAGGAAGGACGACTCCCTCTCGAGCTCAGCACCTAGACCCAGGAGTAACCTAGGAATTAAAGGGGGGGCACCCTTCTTGGTTTTACAAGGGATTACAAGGGAACTTCAACCCCAACAAAAGGGAATAATGGCCTACTCCGGGTCCTAGCCACTGGGTTTCTGGACAGAAGGAGCAGAAGTTGCGGCCGCCTGCCATGGCCGTGTCTGGTCATATACTCCCGGACCTTCGAGCCACGACTTTGCAGCTACTTTGTTGTGTTGTCTGCGCGACGGCGTCCCGCGCGCGCGACCAAAGGAGGGAATGCAGGTCGGAACGTCTGGTACCACAATCGGGCCATCCCCAACATCAGCGCTTCCTAGTGTCAAACCATGTGACGTCAAGGCACCTTGGCTGACTTTCGAACCCCTTCTACAACTTTCACCTTCAGGCTCCTTATATTGTAGTTTTTACAAAAAAACTCACAGTGCTAAGAGCCTAAACCCTAAACCCTAAACCCTAAACCCTAAACCCTAAACCCTAAACCCTAAACCCTAAACCCTAAACCCTAAACCCTAAACCCCTAACCCCTAACCCCTAAACCCTAAACCCTAAACCCTAAACCCTAAACCCTAAACCCTAAACCCTAAACCCTAAACCTGACGTAAAGGCACGAGCTGGCGTGGCAGTGTCACGCCGGTCCTCGTAGTCGCCGAAAGTGATTTCAATGTATTCGGAGGGGCAAGTTGCCTAGGATGGCACTTAAAACCCTCTTGAAAAAAGGGTTCAGGGTTTAGGGTTTAGGGTTTAGGGTTTAGGGTTTAGGGTTTAGGGTTTAGGGTTTAGGGTATTCCTGAATTTGAGCCTCTGCAACCCAAGAAGGGAAAATCGATGTCCCAAAACCCTAAACCCTAAACCCTAAACCCTAAACCCTAAACCGGGCTGCAGATCGCGGAGCTTTGCTGGCCTTTGAACGCGAACTGACATGGCATGGATTGCCCCGGGCGTCGGCCTTGTCCATGGCTCGCGTTCCTGTCCCTGGCCTGGGTTTAGGGTTTAGGGTTCAGGGTTTAGGGTTTAGGATTTAGGTTTTTTTTGCCACCCGCCAAGCAGTCCAGCCGCACTGCAGGGTAACATTTCGGGACGATGTACAGTTTCAAAAGGGTTTAGGGTTTATTGTAGGGTTTAGGGTTTTGTTTAATCAAGTACCCTGAAAATGTATCAAACCATTGTGATGTCTATTCCTTCTTGAGTTTAAGTACCCTTAAAAAGGTAACATGTGACCCCACCATGAGAAAGTGGCTGAGCTCTGCTCCTCTTAGAACCTAAATAACTACAATATGTTTACTATCCTCTTGGGTTTTATATGAACAAAAAGAAACAACTTAGAACCTAAATAAATACAATATGTTTAATATCCTCTTGCGTTTTATATGAAACAGAAACAATAAGTCCCAAGGGGGGATAGTGGCTGTCCGGTGGCGACTCCACGCCCTCGAACGTTTGCTTGGACAGGAAGCAGGGGCTCTCTTCCAAGGAATCGCGTCATGCTTCGCTGGCGCGTATGGCCAGCTGAGCGAGGGGCTTCCTACTAAACCCCCTAAATAAATCGATGCTCCTCTGTTCCTCAGCAGGTAGCTGTATGTAGCTGATCAAGATTCCGCGGCTGTAAGCAGGTCCTGCGCAGTGCGTTTAGCAGATGTGGCAAGGGGCTCAGACCCCTACCTACAGGAAAGGACCTTGAGCTTTGAGCCAAGATGGCTAGTTTGGGGTTTAGGGTTTGGGGTTTAGGGTTTGGGGTTTAGGGTTTAGGGTTTGGGGTTTAGGGTTTGGGGTTTAGGGTTTAGGGTTATGTGTTGGGTTTTAAGCACATGTTTGGGGGGCGGCTCATTCCAGCCGCAAGACTTCTGACACCCACGTTTCGGTGGACTGCCCCTAAACCCAAAACCCTAAACCCTAAACCCTAAACCCTGAACCCTAAACCCTAAACCCCAAACCCTAAACCCCAAACCCTAAACCCAGTTGCTTAAGAACCACCCAAGACATGAAGAGTTCTAATTCCTGTATTACTCTTTGCTTCAGAACCCCGAAAGAATTTTAACAAAACGATGATCATACTGATCCTATATGACCCTTAATAAGGAAGAATAAATGTTGCGTGTTTTTTTAGGGTGTTCTTAAGCAATTAGTAGTGTATGGCTTAAGAACCTCCCCCAACAAAATGAAGAACAACACTTCCTATTTTGCCCGTATGAGGAAGCATGGTTGCTTCATTGCTGTGTTTTTTTTTTGAGGGGGGGGAGGGGGTTCTTAAGGAACTAGTCGTGTATGGAGGGTTCAGATGTTTATCTGTGGATTGGGGATTCGGGTTGCGGTTTCGGCTTTAAGGCAAGCAGCTTGGGCAGGTCCTCTGGATTGACTCTAAACCCTAAACCCTAAACCCTAAACCCTAAACCCTAAACCCTAAACCCTAAACCCTAAACCCTAAACCCTAAACCGCCGGGGGGAACAGTCCAACAAGCCGAGCCCTGAACCCAAGGCTCTGTGCCAAAACTCGCTTCTTGTTGCTTCGGGGGGTTCAGAGTTTTGGGGTTTAGGGACCCAAGACCCTTCACCCCAAACCCCAAACCCTAAACCCTAGATCCTAAACCCTAAAATAGCCCAAGCTGCTGGTAAGTTCCATACCACTGATCCATCAGCCCCATCACGCCATAGTTCACGTTGAACTTCGCGTGGTGCTCGTCGTGCATGCCATTGTCGTCGCAGAACCAGTATCCTGGGTTTAGGGTTTAGGGTTAGGGTTTAGGGTTTAGGGTTTAGGGTTTAGGGTTTAGGGTTTAGGGTTTAGGGTTTAGTGTTTAGGGTTTCGGGTTTCGGGTTTTGGATTTAGGGTTTAGGCAGGTTTAGGGCCAAGGCTTCCACCCAGAAAAGCAGACTGCCAAAGAAGCACTCCCAAAGGCACTGTAGGATTGTCACACACTAGTATCAAGGAAGCCCCCCTAAACCCTAAACCCCAAACCCCAAACCCCAAACCCTAAACCCTAAGCCCTCCCCTTAAATGGTAGCGGAGTCCGTGGGGCTCTTTTCAAGGAGCATTCCCGAGCTCAGGCTGTGGAACTTCTGAAGAAACCCTAAACCCTAAACCCTAAAACCTAAACCCTAAACCTAGGCGCACCCACACCCTATAAACCCTGTAAACCCTGTAAACCCTATAAACACAATAAACCCTATAAACCCTATACACCCAAAAAACACCTATAAACCCTATAAACCCTATAACCCTGTAAACCCTGTAAACCCTGTAAACCCTAAAAACCCTATAAACCCTATAAACCCTATAAACCCTATAAACCCTATAAACCATAACCCCCCCCCCCCCCCCCACAGCCGCCTCCACAAAATCTGGGGAAGATGCCCTTAAAGCGGGAGCTTTTTGACCAGATTCGTTCCATGTAGCAATTGCAGTACTTGTAGTACTCGCAGTATCTAAACTTTCTGTATCAGTTATTGAAAGCCCTAAACCCTAACCCTAAACCCTAAACCCTAAACCCTAAACCCTAAACCCTAAACCCTAAACCCTAAACCCTAAACCCTAAACCCTAAACCCTAAACCCTAAACAGTACTTCTATGAACTATCTGGACTTAGGAAGATATCAGGGCCGCTGTTCCTTTCAAGTCTCATTGAACGAGGTTCTCCAGTAACAGGCAGAACGGGCTTAGGGTTTTGTGTGACGGGAAATGTCTGATTTTGGATCGTAGAGGGTAGTAAGGGTAATAGCCCTACTTTGGAGTAGACCCTGGAAAAAAGTCTGTAGTTGTTTGTATAAATAAGTAGCTATAATAGGAACCCAGAACCAAAAAAGTATTGAAGTATAGTACACCCAAAACCCAGGTAAGAGGAAGCCCCGAGATTTGGCTCCCTCTCGCATGTGTCATCTCCAGAACACCCTCCTCAGGCCCAGAAACCCACAAAAACCCGAAATCGCAGCACCCTAAACCCTAAACCCTAAACCCTAAACCCTGCACCCTAAACCCTAAACTCCTCTCAAACCAGCTCCTCAAACCCTGACAGCGCTCTTCTGGCCACTCCTTCGTTTGCTCCTCCTAACTGCGAAGACACGGGTGAAACCTCTGGGTTTAGGGTTTAGGGTTTAGGGTTTAGGGTTTAGGGTTTAGGGTTTAGGGTTTAGGGTTTAGGGTTTGGGGACTGGGTTTCCAGCAGAAGTTCAAGAAGCTAGGCTGGAGGGATTACAAGGTCTTGGTTTTAGGGTTTGGGGTTTGGGGTTTGGGGTTTGGGGTTTGGGGTTTAGGGTTTAGGGTTTAGGGTTTAGGGTTTAGGGTTTAGGGTTTAGGGTTTAGGGTCCAGGGTCCCTTCAAGCCCCTCTGAAAACAGTCCGTGATATGATCCTCTCAAACCCAGAAAGGCAAGTTACATTAAATTAGGGTTTAGGGTTTAGGGTTTAGGGTTTAGGGTTTAGGGTTTAGGTTTTGGGTTTAGGGTTTAGGGTTTAGGGTTTCCCAAGGGCCTACCGAGGACGGAAAACAAAAATGAATGTGATTCTGGGTGCTGCTGCAAGCATTCTTGGTTCTGGCCCTAAACCCTAAACCCTAAACCCTGAACCCGAAACCCTAAACCCTAAACCCTAAATCTGGGTGTTTGAGGCTTCGGGGTTTGGAACTTCTGGTGCTGCAGCGAGGTAGCCGGAATGGACCGCCAAGGTATGGACCTGGGGGTAGACTTGTCTTGGCTTATAAGCGTTTAGGGTTTAGGGTGGACTTCTCTTGGCTAAAGCTGGTGAGTGTTGAAGCCGGGTAGGTACTAAACAAGAATCTCGTTTAGGGTTTAGGGTTTAGGGTTTAGGGTTGGTACCGCAGGACTCATACTGAAACGGGCGCTGTGCATTTCAGAATGCGAATACCTCCCCAGATGCACTTCCACATCTGCTCCAGGGAACATAGAAAACGGCCACCGACTGCAAGAAGCGCCAGAGCTACGGTTTAGGGTTTAGGGTTTAGGGTTTAGGGTTTAGGGTTTAGGGTTCAGGTGTTTAGGGTTTAGGGTTTAGGGTTTAGGGAAAAAGCGAGTGCCCCTTGATTGTGCCGGTTTTGTGGGCTGGATGTGCGACATGTAGGTTGATGACTTCAGCGAGAACTTTTGTGGAAACTTAGGCAGTTATCTTTAAGGCCCTAACCCCAACCCTAAACCCTAAACCCTAAACCCTGAACCCTAAACCCTAAACCGTATAGGGATTGGAGAAGGTACCTAATTCCCGAACGAGAAAGATTAGGACTGGTGACATGCCTCACGGCCTGGGCGCCGTGCAGTCTTCTGAACTCGAAGGGTTTAGGGTTTAGGGTTTAGGGTTTAGGGTTTAGGGTTTAGGGTCTAGGGTCCAGGGTTTAGGGTGAATTGGTTGCCCGGGTAGCTTGGCGGGCCCGATTCATGTTGAATGGACATGTTTGAGTAGTTCATATCGTTCAGGGTCCAAAAGGCTGTGCTAGGGAAACCCTGCAAAAACCCACCAAATTGCCGTCCGCAGGCCGTGCCCACGGACAGGAAGATGCCGAAGGAGGCGGCGTGTGAGCGGCAAAGGAAGGGCCCAAGCAAAACCGGAAGAATGTTCGAGACCTGGGATATCTCTTTAGGGTTTAGGGTGCAGGGCTAGTTAGGGCTGGTACCTCAAGGTCTTTGGTTTCACTTATTTCTAGTTCTTCGCAGGGAATTCAGGATTCGGTCCTTCAACCCCAAGAACCACGAAGTATGAGACCTAAGACGGCCCAACGCCTGAGTTCACGCGCCCGTGGCTCTTGGATTCAGGGTTTTTTTGCCACCTGGGTTTAGGATTCAGGGTTCAGGGGTTTAGTGTTCAAGGGCAAGCTGAGCGTGGAAACCCTGGACCCCAAGGCTCTAAGGATTTTCGGCTTGAGAGCCTCACGATCATCGAGTGACACAAGCTTCTTTCTGAGGAGGGAGGGGGGGGGGGGGGGCGGGTGATTCTGAGCCGAGGGCAAGATCTAGCAAGGAGCATTAGTGGTATTTCTTGTCATGATCCAGGCTCTTGCTCGCTCTCTCTCTCTCTCTCTCCCCCTCCCCCTCCCCCTCCCTCTCCCTCTCCCCCTCTCCCTCTCCCCCTCTCCCTCTCACTCTCCCCCTCTCCCTCTCCCCCTCTCCCTCTATCCCTCTCCCTCACTCTCTCCCTCACTCTCTCCCTCACTCTCTCTCTCTCTCTCTCTCTCTCTCAAAAGGCTCGCAAGAACCCAGCAAAATGGCAGAGTCTGTGGGTGATTTGTGGGTTTGGTGAAAGGAAGCAAAGGCACCACTGGGCTTTTGTTCGCCAACTCGAAGGCTCCCAGCCCTAAAATTTCAAGGGTTTAGCTTCTAGAATTTCTGGAGTTTACGCTCCATGACATCACGAACTCCGAACCCTAAACCCTAAACCCTGAACCCAAAACCCTAAACCCTGAACCCTAAACCCCAAACCCCAAACCCTAACTCCCTAACTGGCACCCTCGAACCGCTTAGGCGTACAGGCGGTGTGAAATTAAGGCCATGTTGTTGTCAACTGCGGGTTGGTAGGTTCTAGGGGTTAGGGTTTTAGGATTACTAGGGTTTCAAGCTTCCCTCCCCAAAGCAGAAGATGCGAACCAATAATCCTACTTGTGACCCGCTTCTAACAGGTCGCGGCTATAGTGGTAGGCACCGCATTTCTGCTAAATGCATGCTTTCAAGGTCCTGCAAAACTGCTGTTGAATAGAGAGGGTTTTGGGCCTACACTTCTGGTTGTGTATTGGGGAAATTCAAAAACACATAGGAGTAAAGTATGATATTACAAAAGACACATTACATGTGATAAACCAGTGTTTTGGGGCATGTTCGCAAAGACATGAGCGCTTGTGACGGCGCGTCTTGCTCCAGAAACGTCAAACAGCCTTGCGCCTACTATAGGGGCCTCAATATTTAGAATAGGGTTTGGGGGTTCTTCCAGGAAAATCGACTCTAGACACTACACCCTAAACCCTCCATAAAAGGATCATAAGGGACGGCTCGTAGTCATTTTTTTCCGACCCCAATATTGCTGCCCTAACATCTCCCGTGAGGAGCTATCTAGGGAATGGAAGACGCACCTTGGTTTAGGGTTTCGGGGTAGGGTTCAGGGTTCAGGGTTCAGGGTTCAGGGTTCAGGGTTCAGGGTTCAGGGTTCAGGGTTCAGGGTTCAGGGTTCAGGGTTTAGGGTTTAGGGTTTAGGGTTTAGGGTTTAGGGTTTAGGGTTTAGGGTTTAGGGTTTACGTAGGGTCCAGGGTACTCTGTTTTGGGCTGGAGACTTTCTAAGGGAACCTTTTACCAAAAAAGAATCAAAAGGGTACCACTGGGCTCGCAAGCAGCTAGTTCCCCAATTCCCAGCTCTTAAGAACCCCCCCCCCCCAAAAAAAAAAGAACAAAAGAGAATCATCCCTATAAGGAAGATTTTTTGTTGGGGAGAGGGGGGGTTCGTAAGCCATTAGTAGCAACTCCCAACTCTGAGAACTAGGTGCCAGATGCTCGAATGGATGGCAGTAGATGGCCACAATGGAGATGGGTGCAGTCCACGTGTGGTGCAGCTTGTGCACAGCAGCATACCTGGCGGTTTCCGACATTAGGGCCACCTTATGTGAGGTGAGTATTATGAAAGGATATCCTACTATTTGGGGGGTCTGTCTTGAGGGGTCCCCTGTGTTCGTCCCTAAACCCTAAACCCTAGACCCTAGGCCCTAAGCCCTAAACCCTAAACCGGGGTCTGAGTGGCGAGGGGGGGGGGAGGGGGGGATTTGGGGTTTCGGGTGTAGGGCGAATTTTAGGGTTTAGGCTTAGGGCTTCTGCGATGCAAAAAACTTGCACGTAGTTTAGAAGGCAGACTGCAGAGGCTAGCTTTCTCGACTTCCTCCACAATGTAACTGTCGGGTTTAGGGTTTGTAACCCTAAACCCTAAACCCTAAACCCTAAACCCTAAACCCTAAACCCTAAACCCTAAACCCTAAACCCTAAACCCTAAACCCCTCTAATTGAGACCTACTGGGGCCCTGGCATGCTCTTATCTTGGTGTAGCCAGCGGTGCACATAGAAGAAGCAGACCTCCTGTGGAGAAGCACGGCGCTCTAAGCACCAGGTTGGTCTAGGGTTTAGGGTTCAGGGTTCAGGGTTTAGGGATTTGGGGTTTAGGGTTTGCAGGGTTTAGGGTTTGGGGTTTGGGGATTGGGGTTTGGGGTTGAGGGTTGAGGGTTTGGGGTTGAGGTTTTGAGGTAGGACATAAAGGGTTGTTGGCTCAACCAAGAGCTTTGATTGAGGCGTGTTGAGGTGTTCACCCGGAACCCGAAGCCCAAAACTGATGTGGGACCACCTGTGGGCTCAATCTCCGGAACATTGCTGTGAGTGAGGCACATGAATGGATGTAGAGCAAAGCACTGCGCAAGTCTCTCCGTGGGTTTAGGGTTTAGGGTTTAGGGTTTAGGGTTTACCAGCTTCTGACAGCCCAATCAACAGGTGTGGCGAATTCTTGGGGAGGGCCTTGCGGCAAGTGCATGGGAGCAGTCATGATCGAAGGTAGGTTGCCTAAACCCTTAACCCTTAACCCTAAACCCTGCATCCTCTAACTACGGCTCATGCTCCTTCCTAGACACCCGCCTCCACCAACAGCCACACCGTGATGTCCCGGGCCAACCTCGTTTTCTTGTCTTTCCCTCTTGCTCCACGGTGCTGGGTTCACGGTTTAGGGTTTAGGGCTTAGGGCTTAGGGTTCAGGGTGTAGGGTTTTGGGTTCAGGGTTTAGGGTTCAGGGTTCAGGTTTCAGGGTTCAGGGTTCAGGTTTTAGGGTTTAGGGCTCAGAGTTTTGGGTTTAAGGAACACCAAGCGCTCCGGCACTCTGCGCCGGTGCAGGGATCGGCTCGAAGCAGCCCGGACAAAGCATGACAAATGGCAACTGCCCTTTGAAGGTGCTTGCTAGCCCTAAACCCTAAACCCTAAACCCTAAACCCTAAACCCTAAACCCTAAACCCTAAACCCTAAACCCTAAACCCTAAACCACCGCTCGGCTCAACTCTTTGAGCTCGCCGTAAGTTAAGTTTAGGGTTTAGGGTTTAGGGTTTAGGGTTTAGGGTTTAGGGTTTAGGGTTTAGGGTTTAGGGTTTAGGGTTTAGGGTTTAGGGTTTAGGGTTTAGGGCTTAGGGCTTAGGGCTTAGGGCTTAGGGCTTAGGGTCTAGGGTCTAGGGTCTAGGGTTTAGGGTTCAGATTTTCCTTTTACCACGGGTTTAGGGTTTAGGATTTAGGGTTAAGCGCCACAAGCCCTTCGAGAAGCGGTGCCGCAAAACTTTGCATCCAACACCGCAGCATTGTCAGCTGTAGATTTGTACTTGAAGGTTACTGGCCGGCAATAGGGTTATAGCTACACCAAATAAGGCGTTAACCAGTTGCGCAAGTTATAGTTGTCCTACAAATAACCCAGGTGTATGCTCTAGCCATGGTGTAACTAAGGGTTCAATAAACCCGAAACCCCTCACTCGCCAAGACGCGTCTCCGTGGCGGGCAGCGCATGCCAGTCAAGCGAAGCAGCAGGGAGCATGTAGAGAAGGAAGGGCACGCCAATGAGGACCTGCCCAAAACCCTAAACCCTAAACCCTACACCCAAACCCTAAACCCTACACCCTAAACCCTCAACCCTAAGCCCTACTGGCTCTTCGTGTTTGTTGGGAACCAGAAGAAGGAAATGAAGCACCCTACATCGACACCATGTCGCCCTGACAGGCTCGGAACAATCAGTGTGCCTAGCCCCTAAACGCCAAAACCCTAAACCCCAAATCCTAAGCCCTAAGCCCTAAACCCCAAATCCTAAACTCCAAGGCCTAGTCCTTCCCCCAAGCCACTGTGAAGAACCAATCAGGTTTGCGTCGGAGTTCTCAAAAAACACAACGGAATCAACGGCCGTATCCGAATATCCACGTCTGGGGTTCAGGGTTCAGGGTTCAGGGTTTAGGGTTTAGGGTTTAGAGTTTAGGGTGGAGGCCTTGATTGTATCTGATCGGCAACCATGTCATGAAGGAGTTGGTTCAGTCGCAGCAATGAATGTGCACCCGCCATAGTGAACATAACACACCGAGAAGCCTCTGCAAGCTGACCATCCACACGTGTAGTTGCAAGTGGGGTTGCAAGTACCCCTAAACCCTTAACCCTTAACCCTAAACCCTCAACCCTAAACCAACCCCTGAACCCTGAATGGGTTGTAAGTAGAGATGCCGGGCCAAGAACCCTTCCTCTAACTATCCTATATACCCTAAACCCGAAACCCTAAACCCTAAGCTTCAAACCCTCAGAGGAGCCCCCGCAAAAAAAAAAAACACAGAGACGCGAAGCTGCGCGCGTGTCTCTTACGGCCTAAACTGTAAACCCTAAACCTTCTCAGACCCTCCTACATACCCAGAATCATACTTTGCCCTAAGCCCTAAACCCCTAAACCCCTAAAATCCCCCTGTCGGCTTCCTTTGTCGTATAAAAGGGTCCTTTGAGTCTCCCCAGAACCCAAGACGCCAGTCGACGCAGGGCCTGCAACAAGAAGTTGAAGGCCTGAGAGGGACATAGGGTCTAGGGATTAGGGTTTAGAGCTGAGGATTTAGGGTTTAAACCCTAAACCCTGAGCCCTAAACCCTAAACCTGAAACCCTGAACCCTAAATCCTAAAACCCTAGGGCTTAGGGAATTAGGATTAGAGCGGGCTTTGGGCTTGACAGGCTTTCGGGGCTGGCGCGCCAAGCTCAGGGTTTCAGCTTTCAGGGGCGAATACCCCAATTTTCAGGGTAGTTATAACCCCCAATTCTAGCTGCACTTAGGAGCCACCTGAGTCCTCTTAGTAGGTTATAGGCTATAGGTACGCTTAGAATTGGGGTTATGGATCATGGTAAAAGGTCAAAGGTTGCCTACTCTGCTACGAAGAAGCGTTCAGGGAGGAAACGGCCGCAAGGCTGTTGCACAGGAGAAAAGGGCCTTTGGCCCTTTTTGAAACCGGATCTGAAGCCCACGCCAAAAGCATAAACCCTACTTGGAGGTTCATGGGTATAACCCCAACCCCTAAACCCTAAACCCTAAACCGTAAACCCTAAACCCTAAACCCTAAACCCTAAACCCTAAGCCCTAAACCCTAAACCCAAAACCCAAACCCTGAACCTAAACCCCAGCTACTAACCTACTAAGAGGACTTAGGGGGCTTCTTAGTGCAGAGATCCTAAACCCTAAGCCCTAAACTCCCTGGAGCTTCGCAGCCAAGATTGCCCTTGACCGAGGCCCCCTAAACCCTAAACCCTAAACCCTAAACCCTAAACCCTAAACCCTAAACCCTAAACCCTAAACCCTAAACCCTAAACCCTAAACCCTAAACCCACATGAGGAGCTGGCAATCAGCGGTAGGGAGCGCCAAAGCAGCGCCATATCCAAGCTGCGGTCCTGGTCGAAGACTACTTGCTGGTTCTTAGTAGGGAATGAGGGAATGGGGTACCCTCTATCCCCCTATGCATTTTAAGGGGATGATGTAGGGCACTTCATTCCGTCATTCCCTGCTAAGAAGCAGGGGGACTAGAAGGGGGCTGAAGGAAAAGCCCAAACAGTCCCCAAAAACCCCCTTACAAACAGCCCAAAAAACAACACCCTTAACCCTGAAAATCCCAATCCCTGAACCCCCCCAAACCCTAAACCCCGAACCCCAAACCCCCCAAATCCTCAAGCAGGCAGTTTAGGGGGTCAGAGGTCGGTTGGGAGCTTCGGGCTTAGGGTTTAGGGTGTAGGGTGTCGGGTTGCTTTGGGTTCTGCGAAGACTTATATCGCGGATTTCGGGTTTTGGGGCTTCTCAGGGCTTTCGTGTTTAGGGTTTGGGGGTTTAGGGTGGTTGAGCGTGTAGGGTTTTAGGGTTTAGGGGGTTTAGGTTTGTGGGGCTTATGTTTTGTTTTGGTCACCCCGCCTAGCCACACACTGCAAAGGGCTTAGGCATGTGCAATATGGCATCTGCTGCTCGTATCACCATAACGAAACCGAGTTAGATGTTTACAGGCCCGAACTAACACTGGATCCACAAAGCTCGATCCCCCTTGATGAATAACAATATCATAGATCATATCAGGTTCATATATATATATATGCAGATATAATTATGTATTTAATTTTGCTTTTTTAATTTATATATCTGTGCACATGCGTATATATATATATGTGTGTGTATATATATATATATATATATATATATATTTGCATATTTCCATATTTGAATGTATACATGGCTGCACTCATTAGTACCTGCTTGAGCTGTTCCGAAGATCTGGTTTGTATGTACATGTTTGTATATCAAAGTCGACACCCTGGATGCACACAGCTCAGTGAGGAGTAGGGCGAGCGCCCTCCCCCCCCCCCCCCCCCCCCCCCCCCCCCCCCCCCCAGCTTTATAATATCAAACCCTACCTCGACAGACAGTAGACTATAATTATGGGCTACAGTTTCCATAGTAGCCTCGTATTTTGTTTTAGGTAAGCCCTTAACCCTAAACCCTCAACCCTAAACCCCTAAACCCTAAACCCTAAACCCTACACCCTAAACCCTAAACCCTACACCCTAAACCCAAAGGGCCTGCTGGATTTTCCACCTGCGCCAGCCCAACATGGGCGGCAGGGCAAAGAGCAGGCCAATGCCCCAAAACCTGGGGTGTTTCTGGAGGTTTTAAGGCTTGGAGGTTCCTGAACCCTAAACCCTAAATTCTAAATTCTAAAACCTAAACCCTAAACCCTAAACCCTAGCCCTAAACCCCAAACCCTAAACCCTGGATTTTGCGGTGCGCGCCTTGGAGACTGCGAGGATTCGGGCTCAAGGTCTTTTAGGGTTGGGGCGACTGAAAGCGTGACAGGGATTTTCATCCAAGCAGTTTACTGGAGGGGTTCCTGTTTTTCTCTAAGAATTCTTAAGTTTCCTGGAGGGGTTCCTGTTTCTTTCTAAGAAATCCGACCTAGCCGGATGCTCCGGGTCCCGGGCTGCTTGTCTCCGCTTGTCTCCCCTTTGTGGCCTTTGCCCTAAACCCTAAACCCTAAACCCTAAACCCTAAACCCTAAACCCTAAACCCTAAACCCTAAACCCTAAACCCTGAACCCTTTGTCTCCCTTCATCTGGGTGGCCTTTTGACGGGCTCCTGGGGCTGCTTTGTCTCCGCCTAAACCCTAAACCCTAAACCCCAAACCCTAGACCCTAAACCTTCTAGGAATTGCCGAGATTCTGGTGAGCATTGCCAGGGTCCTGCGTTCCTCGTCTCCCTTTGTCTCCCTTTGTCTCCCTTCTGGGCTGTTTGGGGTCTTCGGTGGTGTAATTGAAACTCTAAGCCCCTTAGGAATCCCGAGGTTTAGGGTTTGTTTTTGCCACCCGGCCAGAGTTTAGGGTTTGGGGCTTAGGGTTTGGGATTTGGGGTTTCGACTTTCGGGTCTAGGGCTCCCATGCAACCTACCCGATGTTTTTGGGTCTGGGATCCCGTTCCAGGACGATGGCACGATCCCTGAACCCCCAAACCCTACACCCTACACCCTAAACCCTAAACCCCAAACCCTAAACCCTAAACCCTAAACCCTACACCCCAAAAAAAAGCCCAAAGCCCTTGTGAATCTCTGGGTCTACAGAGGAGTCTGGGGAGCCCTAGCAGCATAGGGCTAAGGGTCTAGGGTTAAGGGTTTAGGGTTTGGGGTTTCGCATTTTGTACGACCCTTGTTAGACTCAACCCCGTACGCTTGCCGGCATTTTTGGGACCAAGGCACGTGATGGCCGAGTTCGCCACGGCGATGATTCCAACGGCCACGTTCTTGCCAACGCGGGCCTAGAGGGGGCGTTGAGTGGCTGAGGAAATCTAGGGATGTGAAGGGATGCTCCCCGGACCACAAATTCGGAACACCAGTTATTCTTTTCGGGTTTGGCACCATGACCCTTTCTTTAACAAATATTCCTAAGAAGGATCCTCAGCCCAATCAGTGAGAATAAAGGGTCCTACCAAGTTTTTCTCTTCATGGAGTCCTGGCAGACTCCAACCGTACCTTCGAGGCAGAAGGAAACAAAGCTATGGTTATGAAAGCTGGCATCCTCTTTGGGGGGGGTACCTTCAACATAACTTTTCATACAATCATCCATGCTAGATCAGATTGCCTTGGGGCTTAGGTTCTTGGGTCTTGGGTCTAGTGTCTAGGCAGGTTCAAGGTTTAGTGATGAAAGCCATCCGGCGGATAAGGACTTAGCCTAAACCCTAAACCCTAAACCCTAAACCCTAAACCCTAAACCCTAAACCCTAAACCCTAAACCCTAAACCCTAAACCCTAAACCCTAAACCCTAAACCCTAAACCGGAAGGGTGCACCCTTGAGGTTGTTGGGTTTCGTTTTGGTTTCGGGTTTCTTGCCACCTGCCTAGCAGCCTCGCAACCACACTGCAGGGATGCAAGGAGTCCGTCCCTAAACCCTAAACCCTAAACCCTGAACCCTAAACCCTAAACCCTAAACCCTAGGTATGTTACTGTGAGTTGCAAGAAGGGCGAAAGCATGTAGGGTTTAATCGCGCGCACTCGCAGAAGCCAGACGAGGCACGCTCTGTCTCAGAGCATTTGGGGTTTAGGGTTTAACATTTAGGAACGATTCACGGGTCGGGAGCGTGGACTGGCAGCACTACCATATACCGGGCTTTGGGATACGTAGAGCAACTGTATTTTCACATCAGTCGAAGCCTTGAATGGGGTACTTCTGACCCCCACCCTAAAACCTATATCCTGAACCCTGAACCCTGAACCCTGAAACCCTAAACCCTAAACCCCAAACCCCAAGCCCCAATTCAAGTACGGGGGCTTCGGGCCAAGCACCTCGAAATCTTCCAAGAGCGGAATCCAGGGTGGAAACCTTGCTGGCACAGGAGGGCCAGGAATCCTTTCACTACACTTAGGGTTTAGGGTTTAGGGTTTAGGGTTTAGGGTTTAGGGTTTAGGGTTTAGGGTTTAGGGTTTAGGGTTTCGGGTTTCGGGTTTCGGGTTTCGACACTCACTCTTGGGGTTGGGGTTTAGGGTCTAAGGTTTGGGGATTGGGGCTGGGGGCTTCGGTCAGTTAACGTTCTAAGTACGGCTACAAAAACCCTCCCAAAGTTTAGGGTTTAGGGTTTAGGGTTTAGGGTTTAGGGTTTAGGGTTTAGGGTTCTTTTACAACTACAGCTCCCGTGCTTGCAGCCCCAGTTGAAGCGACCCTGAACGTCCAAGAAGACCTAAAAACCGTCTCACATTTCTGACTGTCGTAGAAGCGTAGAAGCTTTCTTCTCCTACAAACGGGCCCAAGAACAAAGATGCACAACAACGACCCTGAACCCTAAAGCCTGAAACCACCCTAAACCCTAAACCCCAAACCCTAAACCCTAAACCCTAAACCCTAACCCTAAACCCTAAAAGCCCTATAAACCTTATAAACCCGAACCCTGACCCCTGAAACCAACTTTTGAGTTCACACGGGATGGATGGTTGGGTTTGTAGCTGCTGAGCAGCGCCCTGGAGCATTCTGCTGCCACGGCCAGGGCCCCTCGGGCCCGACCGCCCCACCCTTTTTGGCGTTTAGGGTTTAGGGTTTAGAAGGTTTAGGGGTAGTTACATCCTTACTTTCTTAGGACAGTTTCTCTTATACAAGGGTGCCGTTTTTGGTTTACAGGGGCGCGTCAGGGAGCGTAAACCCTAAACGAAGGACTAAGGGCCTACTCCCGGGTCCTAGTTCATGCAGTGTGCTTGGGTGAGGCGGCCTTGATATGTTGACCTCCAGAGCACCGAGGGGCATGCAAGGGAATCCTGGCAAAATCAGCATCGCAGGGTGCTGTTTCTAGCACAGGCTGCGCTGATTTCTGCCTTCGGGTCAAAGAACTTTTTCAGCCACATGGCTGTTCAAATCAACAAAAATGCAGGCGTAGAATCGCCAACCCTGTGGATCCATGTTGCAGTTTAGGTTTAGTCTGAAACTACGATATAGCAACCCCTTTAAGGCCCAAGTATATGCCATATAGGTACATGGATCCTTAGGGCATGTCTTGAAACAATGGCATTTAAATGGTCGCATGCCAAGCAACATGCATGAGTAAAAAAAAGCGGCTCGCGTCTCCAGACACCAGCCTTCTCAATGCCCTTCTAGTTTAGGGTTTAGGGTTTAGGGTTTAGGGTTTAGGGTTTAGGGTTTAGGGTTTAGGGTTTAGGGGGGCCCAAGAGTACCCCAGGAATAAAAAGGGTGCACCCTTTTGGTTTGAAGGGGCTCATACAAGGGATACCTAACTAAGGAAGAAGGGCACAAGGGCTGGGTCCGAAAGTCGTGCAACTCGGGCCCCCCAACCCGAAACCCTAAACCCTAAACCCTAAACCCTAAACCCTAAACCCTAAACCCTAAACCCTAAACCCTAAACCCTAAACCCTAAACCCTTTCAGGCCGGAGTGCCTGGAAACAAGCGAGCTGTTGCTGAGCGGCGCGGCGGCCCGCGAACTGTACGGCACAAGGAGTTTCAACTCATTTATATGTGGAGCCGGCCTGCCTTCCCAAGTCTAGGTGTCCCCAAGGCGCCTCCTAGTCTTTTCTAGCCCTAAACCCTAAACCCAAAACCCTAAACCCTAAACCCGGAATCCTAGACTCAGGAAAGCGTCTTACACAGCCCCGGGGCTTCATCCGCCCCCCAGGAGTAGCAGATTTCAGCTACTCTCTCAAGATTCTTCGCGAGGTTCCACCATTTGGACTTGGGATGTTGCCCCCTTATGCTAACAGGCCCAAGGTTTAGGGTTTAGGGTTTAGGGTTTAGGGACGCTCCCCCTTATACCAACACTACAATCCCCGTCTTAAGGACTGTTAGTCTAAGGGGGAACATCCCAAATTTGGACCTTCATTTCATCATGTCTGCATCCTCTGTGAACTCCTCCATGATGGTGTTCCCGGTTCCTTCGGGTCTGCAGGGTTCAGGGTTTAGGGTTGAGGGTTAAGGGTGTCGGGTTGAGGGTTCAGGGTTTAGGGTTGGTTTTTCACAGTGGACTCAAGTCTAGCCAGCCAGAGCGGAAAAAACCCTAAACCCCTTTTGCCACTGGACTGGAAGTCTAGCCCTAAAAACCCTAAACCCTAAACATCCATGTCTTGGGGCCTCAGTTGCAGTCTGCCAAGGTTCGCTCCTAGCCCTAAACCCTAAACCCTAAACCCTAAACCCTAAACCCTAAACCCTAAACCCTAAACCCTAAACCCTAAACCCTAAACCCTAAACCCTAAACGCCCTCAGTCTCCAAGGTTCTCTCCATGGTCACGTCATCACCAGAGCTTCCCGCCTTAACGGTTCCGGCATCCTGCTCGGGCTCCCCAGGCTCCTGAGTGGTAGGGTTTAGGGTTTAGGGTTTAGGGTTTAGGGTTTAGGGTTTAGGGTTTAGGGTTTAGGGTTTAGGGTTTAGGGTTTAGGGTTTAGGGTTTAGGGTTTAGGGTTTAGGTTAGGGTTTAGGGTTTAGGGTTTAGGGTTTAGGGTTTAGGGTTTAGGGTTTAGGGTTTAGGGTTTAGGGTTTAGGGTTTAGGGTTTAGGGTTTAGGGTTTACGGGCCACCTGCCTGCATTCAGGGTCTTTAGGGTTAGCGCTTATATCGCTTATAGGGTTTGGTCGTCAAAGCTGACTCCGTTTTCTGCTTTTAAGTTTGACAGAACCCCGGAAAGTGCAAAAGACGGCGAAAAAGGGGATAGCGCTGGTCTTCCTAGCCTCTTGTTCCTGATCCAGCTTGCTGGTGTCTTTCACCTCACCAGGGGCAGATGAACATCATGAGATCTGAGATTAGGGCGGGTAAGGCAACCCTAAACCCTAAACCCTAAACCCTAAACCCCAAACCCCTAAACCCTAAACCCTAAACCCTAAACCCTAAACCCCCTCAGAAAGCCCCAGGAGAGACCTCTCACAGTCAGTTCGACCCCTCGCCTGCGAGGCGTGCGTCCTTGAGGCGTCCTGGCCACTGCCCGAGGTGCCTGCCGCGCGGACCTTTAAGGGTTTAGGGCTTTAGGGTTTTAGGGTTTAGGGTCTAAGGTTTAGGGTGTAGGGGGAGAAGGAGGGACCCTAGAAGAACCCCAAGTAGCCCCTAAATAAGCCCTAAATAATCCTTAACTAATCCCTAGATAACCCCTAAATAACCCCCTACATAACCCCCTAAGTAACTCCTAAACCCTAAACCCTAAACCCTAAACTCCCCTGTAAGGGTCCCTCCTTTAGTCCCTTGAGACCTGGAGTTTGATGGCCATGTCCACCATAAGCCGGTCCATCTCCTCGAACTTCCTTTTGGGGGCTTTAGGGTTTAGGGTTTAGGTTCAAGTTGTTGGGGGCTTTAGGACTTCAATGGGGGTTTCCTCGGACTTCCTTGGGAGTTTTTAGGTTTTATGTTGGTTTGGGGCTTTAGGACTTCACGGGGGTTTAGGTTTGGGGTGTGGGGTTTAGGGTTTAGGGTTTAGGGTTGTAGGGACCGCTCTGAGAGAGCATCATTAATTATGTCCTAGAAGACGAAGACTGCCAGGACGGGCTACTATACCCTATAACCCCCATCAAAAGGCCCTGTATATATGGTTCAGCGTCGAGCGTCCTGGGCCCCCCCCCCCCCCATGGTATCCCCCCCCCCCCAAGTCTACTCTACGGTCCCTAAACCCTAAACCCTAAACCCTAAACAAACCCTAAACCCTAAACCCTAAACCCTAAAACCTAAACCCTAACCCTAAACCCTAAACCTTAAGTCTTAAACCTTAAACCCTAAACCCTAAAACCCTGAACCCCCTAAACCCTAACCCTAAAACCAACCCCCAACCACACCACAGGGGGGGGGGGATCATCTTAGTACCCCATCCGCGGGGAAAACCCTAAACCCTAAACCCTAAAACCCTAAACCGTAAACCCTAAACCCTAAACCCTAAAACCCTAAAACCCTAAAACCCTAAACCCTAAACCCCCTAAACCCTAAACCCTAAAACCCTAAAACCCTAAAACCAACCCCCAACCACACCACAGGGGGGGGGGGGTACCATTGGGGGGGGGGGGGGGGTAGGGGGGAGGGGGGGGGGCCCGCCGGGGCTGAATCATATATATATATATGTATATATATATATATGTATGTATATAGGGTTGCCTGTGGGGATTCTAAGGCCTCGTAGCCCATCCTGGTGTAGAGACGACTGAGTGGTGCAGAGTATGCCACTCGGATGTTGGCTCTGAACGCTAAACCCGAAACCCGAAACCCGAAACCCGAAACCCTAAACCCTAAACCCTAAACCCTAAACCCTAAACCCTAAACCCTAAACCCTAAACCAAACTCCCACGCCACAGTAGATGCGAGGTTCTGCTGCGTCATCCGCGTCAACTTGCCCACAGCGCTGTCATCGATGGCCTTCAGGGGGGCCCCAAGCTCTTCCCCACCCCAAACCCCCCCACCCTCCCCCACCCCCCCCCCCACCCCCCCCACCCCCCCCCCCCCCCCCCCCCCCACCCTCCCCCTACCCCTCCATCCTCCCAAGACTCATTCAGGGTATCTAGGGTTTAGGGTCTAAACCCTAAACCCTAAACCCTAAACCCTAAACCCTAAACCCTAAACCCTAAACCCTAAACCCCACTTGGAGGTGAAGGTTCAGACGTAGTTTTAACATTAGGGTTGCAAGTAACATGTGGTTGTGGCAAAATATTGTCGCTCTAGTTACCCTGCTGTGTATCCCCGCTTGTAACTACCCTAAGCCCTTTGAATTTGGACTCAGCGCACTAGGTCCTAGGGTTTAGGGTGTAGGGTTTAGGGTTTCGGGTGCTTTTCGAGCATCTTCCCAAGCCTCGTCAAGAGATGGCCAGGGCAGTGCTGGGTTAGCCAGACCGCCATAGCCTTTAGGGTTTAGGGTTTAGGG